AGACGCACTAAAGTAGGAAGAATCTGTTCCACAGCATCTAATGGGGGTGCGGGATTCTTGTTGCGACAAAGGTTTGAAAGTGTCCAGGTAAGATTACGTAAGTAACCACATGATAAAGATGACATATCAGGAATAGCTAGAAGAGCCAACAGTGGGTCAACTGCGCCATACTTAATAAACAAGTCTCGGAAAACTGAACCATCACCTGCAATGTTTCCTAGAGTCCACACAGCTTGCTCACTGATATGAGCATGAGGAGATGCCAAGAGAGAAATGAATGCTGGAATAGAACCTCCATCTACCACAGCCTTAGTCTGTTCTGATGTCCCATCTACCACAGCCTTAGTCTGTTCTGATGTCCCAGAAGCAATGTTAGTTAGTGCCCAAGCAGATTCAAACTGAATGGGACTACAATCAGTTCTACCCAAGGAGGACACAAATTTTGGGATCAAACCAGCTCAGATTATATTGTCAATGGGAGGCTGTTTTTCTCTAGAAAGTAGTTTCCTGGGAGCTTGAGCAGGTTGGAGCTGGTTTTCCATATTGGTGCTATTTATACCTTTAACAATGTTATCCATGGACCAATTTACAGTACCCTGGTTATTTCAGTTTTCCTGCAGTGGAGAAGTAGCATCACCAGGAAACGCGCTTACATTTCTCCTTTTCAGCATCTGGTCATCTTTCTTAGCTTTCCTTAACTCCACATTAACTTCTATTCGGCGTCGCCTCATTTCTGTGCTGTCTTTTCCCTTGTTCTTGAACCTGTTAAGTCGGGCAGCTGGTGAATTAGCATTCTCATTGGTGGACATGGTTATGAGACAAAGGGAGAAAGCTGCACAGCTAGCTCAAGCTTCCATGGGAGGTGGTGCGGGACTCAGAAGACCTGGGTCCGCTGCCCTGGAAATGTCCACCGTAGCTCAGGCAGAACACCGAGCCAAACTTCTAAATAAAGACCCCGAACGCTTCTAATTTTTTTTTTTTTTTTTTAGTTTTGGCCAGGGCTGGGTTTGAACCTACCACCTCCGGCATATGGGACCAGCGCCCTACCCTTTTGAGCCACAGGCACTGCCCAACACTTCTAATATTAAACATTGAAATAAATGTAAGCTGCTCATACATTTAAGAAAGATTAATAGAAACAAGGTGATTATTTGCCCAATTGTGGTGAATCTGCAGTGAGTAACTATACAGAGTGGGGGTAGGTTAAATTAAGGAATGTTTGCAGAGTAAAAATTTTAAGGAGCAAAGTTCAAAAACAAACAATAAATATAGTGGGCTCCCTGAGTGCTTTCATACCACTATTTATATAGTCATGCATTTATATGATTATTATATACTTTAAAGACCTTTATTTTACAATAATTTGTGTTCATTTCTTCATTTTCTAACCCACTTAATTCAAGGTTGTAGGAGGCAAGAGCCTATCTTGGGAGCTCAGGGCACAAGGCAACATGGACAGTAGACACTGCAACACACTACTCACACTCAGACAGGGACCATTCAGTTAGGCCAGTCAACCCAAGGGGTGCATCTTTGGGATGTCAGAGGAAACCCATGCAGACATAAAGAAAATGTGCAAGCTATACACACACACACACACAATGGCCCCAGCCAGGAATCAACTTTGTTCCTCTAGAATGTTTTAACAAAATGACATTATTGGAAGACCTGCTATATGTTATATGAACCCTATAAATGTAAGGGCTATGTCATTTATTTTTGTATCCTCACAGTGTAATATAGAATATAACACTATTATGTACTAAGTAAATGTCTGCTGAATTCACCTGAATTTCTTTTCTTGCTCTTAAAAATAGTGATTATATGCTCTGTTACATGTCCCAAACTGAACTGAGACTGTCTCCTCCCTCCTCCCAGACTTCCTCCTACAATATTCCTCCTTCTCATAAAAAAGGCAATTCCTTTATTGCAGTTTTTAAGCCAAAAATCTTAGTGCCAACCTTGCTTTCTCTCTCAGACTCTTCAGTCAGTTAGCAAACCCTATTTGTTCTAGCTTCAAAATAAATCTAGAAATCAACCACTTTTCACCATCTCCACTGTTTTCCACATGGCTCAAGCCACATAGATTATTTCAATATCCCCCCCTTTTTTTTTTGGAGACAGAGTCTTGCTCTTTCACCCTTGGTAGAGTGCCATGAAGTCATAGCTCACAGCAACCTCCAACCCTTGGGCTCAAGCGATACTCGTGCATCAGCATCCCAAGTAGCTGGGACTACAGGCACTCACCACAATGCCTGGCTATTTTTAGTCTCTTGCTCAGGGTGGTCTCGAACCTGTGAGCTGGGGCAACCCACCTGCCTCAGTCCCAAGTGCTGGGACTACCGGCGTGAGCCACCGTGCCCAGCCTCAATATCCTCTTAACTGGCATCCCTGTTTCTTTCTTGCTACCTTTACTCTATTCAACATTGCAGCCAAGTGATCCCATTTTAAATCAAGTCAGATCATGTCTTTCCTCTGCTCCAAACCTTCCAATGACTTTCCATTACCATCAGAATAAAAGCCAAGGCCTTACAACCTTGCATCTTCACCTTTTTTACTTAATTTCCTTTCCTCCTAGTTCATTGTTCTCTAGAGACCAGGGCCTTGGACCTGACAGGTGCTGCTTCCTCCCCCAACACTCACCCCCAGCCTTTACACTTTCCCCAAATACATGCATGACTAGCTCTTATATTTCCTTCAAGTCTTGACCCAAATGACACCTCTGCATTGAGGCCCCGTGTTCAAACTTATCTAAACTGGCAATACTCTCTATTTCCTCTTGATTTATTTTTTTTAGTATTGATCACCACCTCCACCCGACTTTTAGTTTGTCTTGTTTATTGTCCGACTCCCTATTCATCCCACGCAGAACTTAAGTTTTATGAGGGTTAAGATTTTTGTGTCTTTTGTTCACTTGCTGCACCCACTGTTTAGTTAATAAATACTTGTTTCATGAAGGAAACTGCTTTTATCTGGGTATTGTGGACACTATAAGAAACACCCATACAAAATTTCAACCTAGAAGAACTGCTGTGTGTGTGTGTGTACACAGAGGGTGCCAAGAAAATATATATGCATTTTAAGAAAAGAACAACCTTGGTGGCACCCATAGCTCCAGTGGGTAGGGCGCTGGCCACATACACTGAGGCTGGTGGGTTTGAACTCAACCTGGGCCAGCTAAAACAATGACAACTGCAACAACAGTCGGGCACTGTGGTGGGTGCCTGTAGTCCCAACTACTAGGGAGGCTGAGGCAAGAGAATTGCTTAAACCCAAGAGTTTGAGGTTGCTGTGAGCTGTGACGTCATGACACTCTACTGAGAGCAACAGCTTGAGACTCTGTCTCAAAAAAAAAAAAGGAAAGAACCTGTATTAAGATTATAATAGGTTGGTGCCTGTGGCTCAAAGGAGTAGGGCACCGGCCCCATATGCTGGAAGTGGCGGGTTCAAACACAATTTAAGAAAAAAAAAAAAAAAAAAAAGATTGTAATAATATATACTGATAAAAAAGTATATACATCTTGATAAAAAAAGATGTATACACGTCACATTTGACTTCTGCAATTACAAGAGGTACTATGAATGTCATACTACACATTACTAGCTAATTCAATTCAACTTCAAAAAGTAATATATAGCTGGGGTGGCGCCTGTGGCTCAAAGGAGTAGGGCACCGGACCCATATGCCGGAGGTGGCGGGTTCAAATCCAGCCCTGGCCACAAAACTGCAAAAAAAAAGAAAAGAAATATATAGGTAACATCTCTTAAAATGTGTATACATTTTTTGGCATCCCCAGTATGGAAAAACAGCTAACATACAGAGAAGGGCTTTGTAGACCTCTATAATACTGGCATAATGATAGCCTCTACCATTCATTGAGCCTTTATTTGGAAGCAGTTATTTACAAATACTTTGATTCTCCCAGAACCCAGTAAGGTAGCATCAATATGAGCATTTCCCATATTTTACCTGTCCAAGGCCAAACAGATTGACGGAGGGGTGCAAGGTGAGAACTAAGGTAAGGGTCCCCAAAGGCCAAGAAGGAGCCACTGCCCCCTCATTTGCTTGATAATAGTCACCGTCCCCTCCTTAGCTTCTCTATAGAGGGCACAGCAGGTAGACTTAAAGATTCTTAACTCTTCTCCATAAGTAACATCACCTGTTTGGAACCTGGGGGTAGTTTTTGAGTTATCTTCCAGGTACTGCATTCCAGTGGATTGACTGACCCAATCAGGCCAAGGAACTGACTCAACTGGTCTTAGACGCTTCACCCAAGGCCCTGTATTCTAGTAACAGACCCACCTAGACAGCAGCCCATACCAAAGGACCGATAGTTCTGCCTGGAAACAAGCCAATTAGCAGGCCCTGATTGCCTAATCCTATGCCCACCAAACTCTTTAAAAACTCTGTCTCCCCAATTCTGAGAGAGGTGGATTTGAGAAATTTCTGTCTCCCTGCCTAGCACTACGCAGAATAAACTCTCTGCTGTAAACCCTCCTGTCTCTGGCAATTTACTGGCTTGGGCAGCGGGCAGACGGACCTACCTAGGTGGCAACACCAATACAGAGTACATTACAAATTCCAAGCTTTATGTATGAGCCCACTGAGGGCTCACAGGCTCCTCTGCTAGACAGCTAGATGCGGCAGGATTCTCACGTGTCCCCACCCTGTGGCGTCTTCACCTCCGCCCTTTGCCTCCCACTCCAACAGGGAAGCGGCTCCGGCGGGGCCTGCTCGTCTCTCGACCTTGCTGGCCCTTCCCTCGACTGCTCTGAGAGGAGCCTCTGTCACCCGCCTGGCATGCTCGGGTCTCTCAGGCCCAGCTACCAGCAGCTCTTCCCCCTTACCCACCTTAGAGCATCCCCTTCTTTCTTTATTGCCGCCATCCTGCATTCCTGGCTCAGGCCCTCCTCCTGCCACCGGGCGTCCCTCAGAGCTGCCGACCGTCAATTGCCCTTGGAGTTAGCTACCAAAGTAACAAAAGCACTCACCCGACTCCCACCCTTAGCTCACATCCCCAGCCGCCAAAATTCAAATTTAACGGTCCCGCGCGGCCAACGCACTACGTTCCTCCGCTCCTGCGTACTGGCGCCTCTCGCCCAAAGCATTCTGGGACTTGTAGTTCATCTGGGGATTAGTTCGCGCGGTAGCGGTGCATAATGGGAGTTGTAGTTTCGGAGGGTGGCGGTCTCTGGTCGCCCAGGTGCAGCAGGCATAGGTGGGATGAATTCTCTGCGCGTCCTGGCTATGAAGCCAGTCTCTGAACCGAGCGAGGCACACTTTAAGCACCAGAATTTTTTTTTTAATGTCTTTGAGTACTTGCACTTGGCTTGACTCTTCCTCGGTCTGCCCCAAGTCTCCTACTGGTCCAGCATTCTTCGGCTACTCTGACCCAGATTATTTCCTGCCCCATCTTTGAATTCAAGAAAGCTTAAGTTCCAGGCTCAGCGCCTGTAGCTCACCGGCTAGGGCCCCGGCCATATACACCGGGACTGGTGGGTTCAAACCCGGCCCAGGCCTGCCAAACAAGGATAACAACTACAGCATAGCTGGACGTTGTGGCGGGCACCTGTAGTCGCAGCTACTTGGGAGGCTGAGGCAAGAGAATCGCTTAAGCCCAAGAGTTTGAGGTTGCTGTGAACTGTGGCGTCATGACACTCTACTGAGGGTGACACAGTGAGACTGTCTCAAAGGAAAAAAAAAAACGGAAGGAAAGAAAGAGTGAGAAAGAAAGGCTTAGTTCAATAAAATCGTACTAATTGTACAATCTTAGATAAACCATATAATCTCTTTGACCCTCAATTTTCCTTTTTTTTTTTTTTTTT